TTTCTTCCTGAGGTCAAGAGTGGAGTGGAACAGGGTAACTACTATTGTGTGGTGTTTTGCATATGGGAATTATATTTTTCTTCTGTGTAAGCATTGAATGCTGCAGTTTATTGAAGGATGTTGCTTTTAGATGATAAAGATCTCAGCTTTACAAAAAAAATCACTTTCATATTGGGATGAAGTTTTACTCAGTRTCTGTAATCTGATGTACAGATTTATGGTCACTCTCTTGTTCTGTTTAGAATTACAAAAATAGATCATCAGTAGTCTACAGAGTCTATTCCCAGCCTTCTTTGTATTACATTTCAGAGAAACAACCAAAAGGCAAGTGAGTGACACTCAAAGGAATTTTCTCCAGCTGAGCTACAGAGGAGCATAACATGGCCCTTTGGCCCTCAGACTTGGGGGCCAGAATGCCTAGACCCCAAACCCGGCTTCTTTACCCACTATCTGTTTGACTGTGACATAGTTACTTCTGTGTATCATAGTTTTATTCAACCACAGAATTGTGCTAATAGTGGTTCTTTTCTACTTCTAGGTTCTTTGTGAAGGTAAAATAAGGTTAATATGTGAAAAGCACAAGGAAGATAAAATTTTATCTAAGTGTTATTATAAATATTAGTCATAAATATCTTCTTTTTAATTCTGGCTTTTTAATCAAGATTACAGTGCAAAAATATAAATCTTTATGTTACATAGCTTATTTTTCCAATAACCTATTTTAAGACAAAGTTCTTATTAAAGATTAGAATTCTCAGACCATCACATTCAAGTCTAAATCAATGCTAAGTATATGATGTTACCAAGTGTCGACTTGGACTCTCTTTCTTCTTTAAATCACTCACAAGGAAGATTTTCCTTCTATTTGGTCACTTTTTCTCAGTGAAGCAAAGCTATTGAGTTGAAGATCTGTTAGTATTATGGTGATTTTGTCAAAAGCTGGAGGGGCAGCCCAGCATCAATCTAGCATACAGCAATACTTTAGTATCTTGGCAATGTTTTAGATACTATGTWGCACCCACCCAGGATCTGTCTCAAGGAACTTATTGACTGAGTGGAGATCCTTCTGGTTCATGAACTCCTTAACAATTCTACCACATACAAATGTCACATAGTTCATAAAGAGTCTACTAATCACATTGGTTGAATAAATCTACTTTGTTTTATTTCCAACTTGCAAAATTCTCCTCAAGGGAGACTGGGAGGAAAAAAAGAAAAAAAAAAAAAAAAACCTAGCCAGAATTCCAGTTTCAGAAGTTAGGACTGTGGTTTGAGTGCTGGGAAGGCAAGGATGACACACAGGAAGTGTGTCTAACCACAGGATGAATAGAAAGAGTTGAGAGCCAGCCTCACAAACAGATACTGATAGCAGGTCCAAAGAAAGGAATTGAGTCCCTTCAGAAAAGTGTGCTTATTCCACATTGTTTTGAATACTGTTGTGGTGACTGACCTAGGCTTACCTTGTAGTAGGAAGATGCATGGTCAGGGTAAACCAGCTAGAAATGTGAGTTCAAACTGGAAGTCAACTTCTGCATCCCTCAAGGTCTACACTCCTCTTTCTCTGTGTAGACTGTTTCATTCATTCTTAGCAGCAAAGAAAGCCAAGGAACAAAGAGGCAAAGCAACCATGCATCCCTTGCGCTAAGAAAAATCTAAAAAATGGGGTTAGAGAATTAGGGTCTTATTCATCTTTGATCTTTGACTCATTATCATGGACAATGGAAACATGATTTTTCTCAAGGATTTTTGTTTTTTCCCCCCAAAAAATTAAAAAGTTTGGATACCTTACCTACTTTCAGTAGTTATTCTTCTTACTGAGTTTACTGCTCTCAGCATTCTGACAAGCTCCAAAAATAATGACCTATGCTGTGTATTGTTAAACGTTCAGTCAGACAGATAGGTCCAGATGGATGAGGGCTGTGTTGCACACAGACAAGTCAGCATTATTTAATCAACGTTTGTTTGATCCGTGTAAAACAAGTATAAATGTAAGCTGCATCCCATCTGTTTTATCATCCACGTGAAGCCAACCTCATTTTTAAAACTTGATTCCTTATGTAATTGTCCTAGAATGACACAAAATGATAAGTTGGGAAGAAATATCATTCGGAATGGCGAGGTAAAGGATAGTTTTACTTAGAAGTGCTTCATGTGTTGAGCTTCCTCGTTTTGCACTGGCATTCTGGAAGGTTAAGGAACAGAATCACCCCCTAGTAATTCTCAGCTGAGCTCTGAATCCGCACAGACCTGAGTTTGAGGATAACTAGGAGTCTGTGAGTGTTGAGCCAAATTACTTAACCATCAAGTATCACAGTGCCTGTCACAGAGCAGACTCTCAGTAAGATTTATTCAACTAATCTTTCTTTGTTTCAATTTCCTTGTCTGTTAAATGGGGGAAAAATCAATAGTTACCTCATAACAATTGTAAAAATTAAATTATATTGTGTCTAAAGCATAATGACTCAGCAGCCAKTATTATAATCATCCTGTTACTTGAAGGTCATTTTCTCATGGACCACACTTTAAGTCGAAGCATATTAACATGTGGTACACAGCTCATTTTTCCATTTCCAATTTTTGAACAATGTAGGTATTTAATAAATCACACAGAGGGCTAAGGATATGTGGCAAGAGTAGAAATGAACAGGAATTAACCGTGTGTTTGAGTTGATAGATGCAATTTTATTATTATAATGAAATGTATGCCATTTTATACATATGTGGGAAATCTTTGTCAGAATAAAACAAGGTCATCAGAGAGTAATAGAGTAATACCTTTTACCAAAAGCCACTATATATCAGTGACCTTAGCATCTTGTTGGGATATCTGAGGGGATGATGTGACTGTGTCTTTACCCAGAAATATTTACTAGTATAAAGTGGAATATTAGTGGTAGTTTTAATTTCAGGATCACATACTTAATTTCTAAGCCATATGATATAGGTTATTAAGTATTAAAAATTTTGGTACATGGTACATTGAAGATCTCATACTGTGTTCTCTAACTTCCATGTTATATAGAGAAACTACTCCATGATTTCTCTTTAAGAACTTTTCTCAAAAACATGTGTTCATTAATTCTATTCATTTATTTTTTTAAAAATTTCATCAAACTATTTACTAAGCCAGATACAGTGTAGATGCAAAGATCACTAAAGCTATACATGTAAGACTATGACAAGGAATTTAGAGTTTAAGCTATAAACTCACCAGAGCCAGTAGAAGTTCTTAGACGGGGCCTGACTCATCTCTGCACTTTACAAAGCATCTTTGACCACAGTGTGAAGAATGGAATGGAATAAGAGATTAGAGAAGGAATTTCAATGAGATAACACATGCTGAAGTTCTGGATGTAAGGAATGACATTAGGATTGTGGATTTAGGACCAACCTGAGATAGTTTAAGGCAAGTCTTAGTCATTGAATTGAGCTATTTTGTGTAGAGCAGATTCAGAACATGTGAAAACTACTTCCTGGACATGTGAAAACTTCAGCTTCTTTAGCTCAGGGATTACTTGGAGAAAATTGTGTTCTGCAGGGGATGGCATACATTCCCTGGAAGAACAAATTAGAAAGTCCCTTGATAACATTATTCTTTAGACCCCAAAGTCATGGATAATTATTTCACTGAATACTGTTCAATGATTGCCTCTTTAGATTAGCACAGGCTAAGAATTAAAAAAAAAAAAAAAAAGGTTTTACATTCCTTAGTTAATTTGAGACTGTATAGTTATACTGCTCATTTTTTTTTTTTAACTATTTGGAAGCTACTTAAGAGTTGACAGGCTTATGTGCTTTACTGTCATGCTATCCATAGAAACCATTCATCTTTAATATGATAGCAATTGTGCATGTTTTACTTTCAACTTCTGCAAATACATGTAAAGGCATAGAAAATATCTAGCATCGAAAATAACTGCTAAAAATTCTATTACCTTTTAAAAAATATTTCACTTGGATAAAAACCTATATTATTATTATTATTGAAACCTTGATTTTGATCACTTAAAWTCATGTTTGTTATTATTCAACTCATATTTCCATATAGCATGAAATTAGAAATCTTAAAAAAGGTGTCAGCATCCTGTGATGAAAGAAAAGATGTTTTGATTTCTTAGCACAGCTGGAAATTAACAAGTCCCATAGAGTCTTATTTGCTCTTGAAATAATAGTTCTACCTATAACATGTGTGTGTATGTATATATGTGTGTATATATAATATTTGTACAATGTTTATGTTAGATTTTTCAGTAACTTTGTTTAAATAGTTTGGTTGAATAATTTCTTGGAACATCAAAGAAATTAAAGCTAAAATAAGAAAAGAACTAAACTTGATGAACAATGATAACACAATAGTAAAAGGAAAAAGGATAAATAGAAAAAAATATCTGCATTGGGTTATAAATTTATTTTCTGACTATGATGATTAATTTGACCTCCCTTTGTTTCTGTTATTGTTAGCAGTTTGAGTTGTACAAATTTCCCAGTGATAATTGCCCATAGTATGTTACAAAGAAACAGACAAAACCCTAAGTTGCCATTAAGACGTGAGCATGTGGGAGAAGAACAGGCAGCATAGCGGGTGAAAGACTGTTCGAGTTAAAGACTGGGTTTAGGTGCACATAGGAAAGTGTAATCAAGATTAAATAATGTTCACAGAACTAGAAGGAATATCGAACCAAGATAACTTGTAACTACAGCAGCAGAGAGGAAAATGGAGAAGTAAAACTAAAAACCTGCCTTTCCAATATTAACAGGACATCCATATTGATTTTTTTTTCTTTTGAATCAATGTTGGTGACTATCACTGTTTCTTACTATGATTAATCATTTTGTGTTATGCTRTTTGCATTAGTGTTCAGCTTCAGAGCTAGAGTGGTCTTGATGGAGTGTGACTTCAGAATTTTCTTTTTAAATCATGTTTGTTACTTACTGTGATAAATGCCTATAATTCTGTGTTATTCACTATTGATTTTGTATGTGCTGTTTTTCTTTTAAAGTCAATTGATCCTGGCCAGCAGTTCACATGGGAACATTCAAACTTGGAAGTAAACAAACCAAAGAATAGATATGCAAATGTAATTGCATATGATCATTCCCGTGTTCTCCTATCAGCAATAGAAGGTAAGGAAATGCAGATATTATTAATACTGTTATTTKGGGGGACTTAAGTACATACATGAGAATTTAGGTTTAGCTAAGTTATTAGCCATGTAGGAAATTACTTACCTAAGATTCATATACAGTTTGTTCTCACTCTTTCCTACACAGATACATCTCATACAGATGCACAGTCTCACTGGTACCATGACACAAGAGCACCATCCCTCATTACCTTATTACTTCCACCCCAGACTTGATACTGTAATTGATGTTTTTATAGGGGAAGCAAATTGGGCTTGGCTTGTTTAGTGATGGCTGTTGAAGGGTATGAATGAATAGATGATTGTCAGAAGGGGCCCATAAATGAACTGGCTACTTAAAGAGGGAGAGAGGACTGGATTGTTTTCAAATACATTTGGATATCCACTGGGGAAAGTTTGAAGTTTAGGAGTTGGTGATGTAATTAATATAAATTAAGTACATTGGAAATGTTTGGTGTGTCTAATTTTGGACTGCTTGGTAATCTGTCTCTCAAAACTGCAGTGGGAGTATATTCTAGAGGGAATGATTWATTGAGGATTACTCCTGAAACATACCTAGCTCTCCTTCAGAATGCATGGAGAGAGTAGTTTACACTCACCTTTTTCTAGTAGTAAACCCCTTTCCCATGCCATAGTCGAACATTTTAGGAGTCCTTGCTTAATATTCAGCATTTTCTTAGTCTTTGGGGTTATAGTAGCACATTGGATTGAAAAGTCCTTAGAAAAACACTTTATCATGCCATTCAAACCCTTCTGTGTATCACGTAGCCAGCCAGGGCTACCACCTATCTCATAACCATGCTCATCCCCACTGGTTCCTCAAGGGCTTTGTGTCCTCTTCAACTGGTAGGCTCACTGCTTACTTTGCTGATGTCTTATAAAACAGGGAATAATACTAGCTTCAGACCCAGCTCTTCTCAGGACTTCTCAGTTTGGACATTTTCACCTATCTTTGTTCATGTATCTTTCCCTTTTTGTTTTTTGCTTCCAAAAACTATGTTGACTTTCACCTTATCTCATAGCTCTGACCAAGTCCTGCCTGCCTCCATAGTGTCCAAGATTAATTTGAAAGTGGGACTCTGCTTCAAAGCTTTCCTAATAAGCACCAAGGCAATGATACATTTATTTTCAGATTTGGGAGAGCAAGAAATAATCTTTCAGCATTTGAGCAGGTTTATACCTGCTGTCTCCTATCCTCAAAAGGGTGTTGTGTGGTATAAATAGGCTTTTAAAATTCTYACAATTTACTTTTAATGGCATAAAATGTTATAGGCCCTTTTTTAGTTGATCAAATACACTAGGTGTTCAAGAGTTAAAATMTCTCATCCTGGATTAAGTTCATCAAGTTTCACCAATGCTAGTTTAGGCAGCAATGCTAGTTTAGGCAGGATAGTGTCAAATAGGTAATTTCTTATTTTCAGGTTGTTTAGAAACTATAATTTGTATATGTAAATGGTTAGAATAGAGGGTTTACAAAATCTTATATGCATATTTCTCATTTTAAAATATAAAAAATAACAACAATTTATCATCTCAGGTCTCTTCAGTTATTTCCATGGTAAATGGAAAGCAAAACCAAGTCACAGAGAAATCATTTTTTTCATTAGCAAAGTAAGGAAAATTATAGAAATAAAATAGACGAATGTAAGATGAGAATGAATTTGGCATGGAGAGAACTTGTCACTCAGCCTTTGCTGTATTATAATGTTATTTCCACTCAGAATTAGGTCACTCAGTACTACTAGCTYCCTATATTTTTGGCACTTTGTCATTATTTTTCTTAACCTGTTATTTTCCACATCTGAACCACGAAGTGTATTGAATAATAATAAAAAAGAACCTCCTTGAACCTTTATTGATAGTTGGAAACGTATGCTCATTTGATTCATATGCTATTTTTACAATATAGAAGCAAAAGCACTTGAATCAGACTAGAACCCGCTTTTTTATAGCTCTATACCCACAAATATACCCAAAATCTAGAGCTGACCTAGAAACCAAAAGTCTTTCAATTTGAAGTGTTASACAAAAGGTTAGAGCATTTAATTGAAGTTTATGGGCTGCACAGAAAGCTTTAATCTAGATTACAACCATGAACAATGCTTTGTCTTCAACTAAGCCCTAACCAGCAGGTATTTAAGTGTACAGTCAATCATTCTATATCCCAGACCCCAAARACAGAATGCTGGCGACTGGAACCACATGACCACTACCTGAACCCTCTCCTAGATGGACAGGTTTGCTAGCACAGGACCAGATTTTTTGAGTGTATTAAAATGTTAAGTGACTTCATGCACAATTTGTAACATGTAATGGGTTCCACCTGTGTCACTGACTGAAATGACTTAGGTTGAGGGCCTTAATTTGGGCATTTTAGTAATTCTTCMAATAGAGCTAGCCTCTCTCTCCTTATTATACTGCAGAGTGATCTGACAGATACTAGAGAAAACACTAGAATTGGCTACGGCGATTCATGTTGTCTTTGTCTTTGCTTAATAGAGCAAACTTTTACTTTACTTCCATTGAAAAGATGACAGGGGGAAAAAATATACAGAATTGGGAATTGTGTGTGGGCACCAACGTACTCATTGAACTTCTTGAAAGCAGTGACATTTCATGACATGTTTCCAAATCACACTCATTTTATTTATGCTGAGAAAAATGCGGAATGAATTCAAGAGAGTTCTAAATACAAAAGCCTTTCAATTGTTGAATTATAATCACTGTAGAAACTCAATTGCATTTTTGACAAATCCAATTACCACAGGGATAYCCTCCATGTTTAAGCAGTTCTTAAGATAAAATAGTAATTCTTAAATAAGAGAGGTAATAAGAGTTATTTTAATGGTTTAAGAATAAATATTTTCAAATAAAGATCAAAGGGAAGCTAATACTGATATATGCACAGTCACAAAATACAATATGCTAATCTCATAATCCAAAATTGTTCATAAAGTATACTTTTATTAAAGCAGGAAAAGAGACAAATGAAAAGATGAATAACAAGGAAATCTGAGTTTGGGGCATACCTCTGTCACTAACTAGCTAGGTAATCTTGACTTTATGATTATCACTAAACTCTTTATTCCTGAATTCTAAGTGTTTGTCTTATATAGTTTTTGTATCAGTTATTTATTTATAGAATACAGCAACCTAATGAGGTAGTGGCATAAATATATTACTTGATAAAAAAAGTACCCATTAGAGACGAGAAAACTGAAGTTCAGAGAATGAGCCCAGAGTTGTTCCACAAAAAATTATGTAGCTCACATTAGAATCCAGATCTTCTGGTTCCTCCACTGACCCACACCAAAAAAGGAAGCTTTCCCACTGATAGAGGATGCCTGTCCTCTATCCACTGACAGAGGGTAGACTATGCCTAAGCCAGTTAGTATGGACCTAAAAGCCCAGCCTTATCATTTGACATTAGCCCCCTATGGATAATGCAGGCATTACATTTTGTAATTTCACTTTGTTTTATCATATGAGTAATCTGATATACTGACACACTAYGGGAACATCAGTGATCCAAATGCATCAGAGTCACAGCACTGCAAATAAGTACAAGTGCATCTCTACCTGACTCTAGGTGATCTGCTCACCTCAACTGCCTTCATATACTTCTCTAATTTCTCATAAACCCGGAATATCAATCAGTGGCAGATTATTTATTGYAATGCMTTATAACTAGCAAAAATTAATTATTGCAGTTCTAGATTTTTTAAAAAGAGGTTTTTGTTCTAAAATATAATTAATCTTCATGGCTGCCAGTGCCTTATTTTCCTTAGTAGGATTATAATTAACATTTCACTTGAAAAGCCATATTGGCATGATTTTTTTAAGTTGTTGGCCAAGTCTAAATATAAAGCAAAATTAAAGTGCTACTTTTCAGTTAGGCAGCAAAGATAAATTTGTAATAGTCATGGTGATCTAGGTAGCTGTTGTATGGTGGATACCTGTCATGGATTTTATATGCATTACCTACCCTGTTCAAAACAACATTAAGTCTTATTATTACCATCAGAATTTACAGATGAGGAAACTGGAACATAAAACAAAGTTAAAGAACTTTTAAGATCAATAGCTAGACAGTGGCAGAGCCAAAATGCTAGTTGGTTAGATTCAAGGCTGCTGTTCTCCCCAGTACAAGATTTAGGCCAACAGTCCCTTTCTCAGCTTTGATGGCTGTGCCTGTATGTCATATCTAACTCAATTTAAGGTATATTGGGAAGAATGCTGGATAAGAAGATGGGAAATTGGAAACTAWATCCTAATTTAAGAAGCTGTATGACTTTGGCATGTCACTTAATGCAATTGACAATAACTCTTTGGAAGAGTTGGATCCATTATGAATTTGACCAACATTTTAAATCCCTCTTGAAAACAAAGGGTACTCACACATTATATTTGCACACTCATTTCAGGGAGTTTGTGGACACTCAAGTCTCGCAAGCCCATTCTCCAGTTTAGAAACTCCTGACTTCTTTTATTCTATTTCCTCAGAAATCTAGGTTGCATACCACCCTTCCAGCTATCTCTGAAATTTTGAATGTTTATTCTAAATCCTCAGCTCAAAAGACAAATAGTAAATCATAGACATCAAGGAATTGGCTCCTTCTACAAACACCCTTCACACACACACACACACACACACACACACACACACACACACTTAAACTAGTGGGTTTATTCTAAACAGGTTTATTGGCTGGTGTGTGACTCTCACCAAAACAGGTATAAATAGTTGGATCTATGAGAGATTCAGAAATGATAAATAATAAGCTCCAGAATGATATATGTGTTTTTCTTAGCATTGCTTATTTATTTGATTTTTTTAAAACAAATGCTTGATAATATATGGGGTTGAGTCTATCCCTGTTTTTACTGTTRTAAAAAGATGCCACAAATTGGATAATACAGAAACAAGAAATTTCTCATATTTCTGGAGTCTGTCACRTCCAGGACCAAAGTGCTAGTAGG